TGACATAATAAATATAATAACAGAAATTAGTGAAAAATTAAACACAACAGAGAGGGTCAACAATGCAAAAGGGTGAAGGCTGCACTCTGTATCATCCTCAACCCAGAATGCAGACTCACTCGCTAGGACTAGGGCAGAAAAAAGAGAGTTGAGAATCAAACGCTGTCTCTCAGAGCTTCTTCATGGACGTGATACCTGCCACTCCCATTGTCATTAACACTGATGGAGACAGAGATGGGCCAACCTCCTCTGTAGAGGACAAATGGAGATATTTTCAGCTCGGTGAACCACACGTGCTCCCTATCGTATAGTTTGTGGTTTTCTGCAACTCTTAAAAAACAAAAACAGCAACACTGAAACTGCTCTTAGCTCGTAGGCCATCAAAAACTGGATGTGGAGCGGAGACTGCAGACCCTGGGTGAAGGCAGATCGGTCGGCCATCTCTACTCCGAGGGCGCAAGAAGGGAAATTCCACCAGAGAGCCGGAAGAAGAGTGAAGTTATTTGGGACCGCACCAGCGGCTACCCCAAGTGTGTAGGAGATGCTCAGTAATTCTTCGTGATCAGAATCATCATCACTGAAGCCTTCTGAGCATGATTCTGAGGCTTGCTTTCCATTTTCCCCCTGGTATCACCAAGCTTGTCGTCACATGGTACACTCAAAGCAAAGGAAGACTGAAATGATTTCAACATCATTCTTCATCAGTCTGTGATGTGATTCTTTCCCTTCTACCTCGCTAGTCTCACAGCTGCTTTTGTTCCAGATGTGCCTACGCTTAGCTCAGGCTTTGATTTTCTTTGAGTTCCAGTGGATGCCACATGACGGCATAAAGTAGGAGTTAAACATAAGAGCCCTAAAGCCAGGGTTCTGCCGTCAAATTCTTGCTCTTCTACCTAGAAGCTGGAGGATCTTGGACAACAGGATCTTGATTCCCCTCTTCTCAGTTGCCTCCTCTCTCCAAAGAGGCCAGTTTATCTCATAGTGCTGGTAAAAGTATTAAATTAGTTCATCACTTATTTACCACCCACACACACACACAAAATGCTATACTACAAACCACCCCCAATCTCAGTAGCTTGGTACATTTATTCACAGACGGACGGCTCAGCTGAGGATTGGCTGGTTGTCAGCAGATCTAGGCTGGCCTTAGGTGACGCCCTCTTATCTCCTCTGAGCTCTGCATTTACCAGCCTGGTTAGTGCTGCTGGCTGCCTTGGACTGGACTCTGCTGGGAGACTCAAGCGTTTTTTGCATCCTGAAACAAGAGTGCTACGCCAAGTGTTTTTCAAATTATCATAATATAGGAAAGAAGACAAGCCTGATTAAGCTAGAAATTGTGTACCTTAGGCAGAAAAAAGTCAACATGACACGTTTGCATGTCATCCTTTGAAAAGGTCTGCTTGCAAGGTGGAACTTGGGGAGAATGCCCACCATTCTCTGATGAGAAGAGCTCAATGTGCCTAAACTTTTTGTGCAGACAAGATGTTTATTCTAAACGTCTACTCTCCTGTGGGAGTCTGAATTTCTGATACATATTAGGCAGAGGGTACCTGTGAAAGAAGCCCCTAATCAAGCCCTGGTCTTTGAGTCTCTCCTGAGTGTTGCTGGTAGACAATGTTGCACGCGTGTTGTTACAATCATTGCAGGGAGAAGACTGCACCCCGTGTGAATAACCTGAGGATTCTTGGGAACTTGAACCTCGTTTCCTCCAGAGTTTACTGTGAACCTTTTATCATTCCCGATTTTCCTTGGTATCTTTTCACTCTCATAAATCACAGTCACACATACAAATATACACTAAGTCATGCTGATTCTAAAGAATTTCAAATCTGAAGGTGGACTTAGGAACCCCTGACGTAATGGGTGTCAGAAGCAGGATGTGTCAGCACAGCCCCGACTCCCTGAAATGGGACCAAAGTGTTCTTTGGGAAAAGGAAGAGAGAGCAGGCGGCAGGTGACAAGCTTTTAAAGCTGGATGGCTACGGAGTTGCCTGGGGTATGAAACAGGAGCTGGGCTGCTGGGGCTGCTGTGAAACATACCTGTGGGATTTTACCTGACCTATAGCTCCAAACCCAGGACAGCAGGCTCCCTGGGCCACCTGGCTGGTTCGAGTGATGCTGGCTAAAGTCAGAGCGGACAAATGGCAGTTCAGGCGACACTTCAGATTTTTGTTCTCCCCTCCACTTGGGAGAAAAGGGGCTCAAAAGTACCCAAAGGTGAGTTTTTGGATAGGCCAAAAACATTCAAGTTTATGTTGCTCTTTCTTCCAAGCGGAAGGAAAATATTAAATCAGTTTCTGGGGCTAGAGAGCAGTTCTAGATGGACGGGAGGGGTCAAGGATTCTCCAGGTGACCCATATTTATTTAGCAAGTGAATACAAGCTGGTAGTGTAGCAAAGATGTCACAGAAACAGCGGTGGTGGTCACAGCAAGCTGGTAAAAGAGAAAAAAGCATACTCAAAGAAAAAGGAACAGATTAGTAGGGAACCCACTTTCCCCCCCAAGCAGGATGTTTAAGTCGACTGCATTGTTTCAAGGAGCCCCAGTCCTCAGCAGATGTTATCTCGCCCTGAGAGTCTTCAGGCCTCTGCATGCCTCTCGGCTCACAGGGCGAGGCACCCACTGGGCTCGGACCCCAGAGCCCCATTTGCACGTTATGGTTCCCACAGATACTGAAGGTAGTGCCAGAAGAATGAATTTGCAAAAAATAAATTCTTAAAAATAGCTTGGAGTTTTGAGGTTACAACATCTGGATGTATGATTTAAAAATGATGTGAAATGTCATATGCTTGTAATTTCATAAATGCTCATCACCTCAACCAAGGGAAGTTACGAAGAGAAAGTGTTCCCGGGGCACAGTGCTCTTGCCCTTGGCTGGATGGGAAGGGTTGACCACTGAAAACAAAAGGAGCTTCTGTCACCAGCGGTCTTTACTGTTATTCCCTGCTGGAGCTGCAGGGAAATGGGTGAGAATACGTAGAGAAAAGCCATCTCCGCTGGGCACATACTTTTAGAATTTTAAAGAGCAGTTTAGTTTTGTAAAAAAAAAATTCACTCACAAGAGAGTCTAGTAGTCACTGTCCGGCCTGATGTGCATAGAGAGAGTCAGTTCAAGCTGACAGCACAAAAAGGGAGTCAGGAAAGCCTTGCCACTTGGACTTGGAATACAGCTATTTTTTGACCCTTTGTTGCTGCCTAAGAAAAGCCTTTTCCTTTTTCTGAAATCTTGAATTCCAGATCCTAGTTCCTCAGGCCTCAAGCTAAAACTTGTCTGTGATAGGCAATTTCTACCTCACAAGAGCTGTGCTGAAATAGAAGCAGGCATGGGTTTCAGGAATAGGAGTTCAGGTTGGAAACCACGTTGGACTGGGACAGCCCTCGGCAGGAGGACAAAAGCTGTGAAAACAGCAGGGCTGCTGGCCAGACCACGGTCACATACAATGTTCATGGAAGGGTGCTTACTCTCTGCTAGGACCTCCCGAGATTGAGCCCTGCTTGGCTTTACCTTTCTGATACAGACACTGACTGCGCTCCTATTGCACACTTACTGCCAAAAGCTACTCTGGGGAAGGCACCCACCAGTGAAGGACCTCTCCACTGCTCCTGACAGGTAAGGCTCTTCCCTACTCCGGGAAAATCTAGCTTCTGTTGACTTGTGCTTGCCTTTCTGCGTGAGCTGCTGTTTGCCACAATGAATCACCAGCCTGACTCTTCTCCTCTCCTGTACCTTTCCCCTGTACACTCACCTTCCTGGGCATTGAATTATTAAACGCAGCTGTCCCCAGAGAGGGATTAGTTTTTTCCTGGGCTGTGCACTAGATAAATGATCAGGACAAAGAAGTAAGAGGTTATGTAAGTTCGTGTTGAATAAATTCCTGTTGTACCTTTCTGAACATTCAGAATTCCAGCCTAACTTATTTCCAAACATGGTGTGCCTTTCTAGGCAAGGGGCATAAAAATGTTTTATTGCAAAAATGCTTTTGTTCCCTCGCACATAACCTTTCACACAAAAGACCCAGTGGAGAAATAACAAGTGGTTAGGGGAAAAAAAAAGTAAGGTAATTACTACTAAATGGGAAACACGGTTTCCTAAGGACAAAAAAACAAGTTCTGGGACCTCAGGCAGTACAGGGAGAGGGAGGGGGTGGGAGGACATTAACGACCTTAGCTTTGAGAACTGTTTCTGGAAGCTTCCCTGTCTTCTTGAGGGAACTCCCCGCCCTGCCGTTCCCAGCTGCTGCAGATGCTCTGAATATTTGGGCTGGAGTGAGAGTTTTAGGGCGGCGGGGCCCTCCGTGGGAGGGGTGCTTTACCTGTGTCCTGCATGGGGTGCCCCAAAAACGGTCAGTTCTGCTCCTGAAGGTGCCACATGCAATCCTCTGGGACTGTACTTCCAGCGTCTGTGCTCTGACGGGGCACCGCCTCCCCCTAGGGGGCTTCAGCTTTTTGGGTCAGAGTTGTGCACCTGCACTGGGTCTCCAGTTAGAACAGAAAGTTTCATAAAGAAACTTAGGGAGAAAATCACCTGCCTTTCTGAGACAGACGTTTATGGTTAATGGAACTTAACTGGCTAAGCCCAGGGCCTTGAATAGGGATAACTTGTCTAGATTTCGGAGTGGTAAAGAACATAAAATGTTAAGCATATAAAATATGTTTATACTCTGGACTTTTAGTCTTTACCATAGTGTTTGTATGACTAGATATGACTGTAATTACAAAGTCTATAGGATGTGTTTGCAAGTGAACACGACAGTACAGGACTCCATGCTACCACTATGGCCGTAAAAAATAAACCTTTAGGAAAAGCAAACCAAATCTCCCTGCCCTTGTACCACTAAACTCCTGCCAAAAAGCCCGGAGGCTCGGTGGCTACTAGGAGACTTTCACCCCACCCCTTGCCCTCCCTCTCCCCGCCCCACGAGCCCTCCATTCTCCTAATTGGCGGAGGGAGAAAGCCCTCCAAGCCAATCAACATTCTACAGAGTCCTCGTCCCGCGCGTCTTTCAAAGGCCTCCTAAGAACCAATGAACGGCTAAAGGCCGAGTCAGGGAACCCGGAGGCGGGGTAAGAAACAAGACGAAATTCTGACTGGCTTCTTAGAAGACTCCGCGCCCCACCTCCCCGAAGGAGGCACCAATGAGCTGCGGGGATAGGAGGGCTCAGGGTGTAGTGGCCTCTGAGCCGCGAAACTGCTGGAGTAAGCAGCACCGGTCCAGGCGGC